GATTCAAATTTTAAGGGGATGTTCACAACCCATGTATAATTTAGAGATTTCATATCCAGCCTTTACGTATGCCCCCACGTCACGCGCGGCCTCGTGAACGTTTTGGCGAGAAAATTGCTAACTGGGGAACCAGAAGAGCCGGAAAGCTGAGATTTTAGGAGAATATTTCTCGTCCAAATACAACTTAAAGATCTCAAATACAGCCTCCAGACATGCGTGTTCCTCGTGTACGGGCATTTAATTTTTTGGCGGGGAAATTTCTCATTGTACGGCTCAGTCTTTTCGAAAAACGACCGCTAAACGGAAATTGTTTATTTTCGTTTATGCAAAATTTACGATGATTTACGGTATTGAGCTCACAGAGGTGTGAAGAAACAGCCATTCATGTAGTTAACTTAATTAGTTCAAGTTCGGTCTAAAAACGCATAATCGCACCAGCTCGCCTGGTGCGTTCCAGCCTCGGTTTATGAAACAAAACCTCTGTTCAGTACTCGAGCGCTTTTATAAGACATCGGGCAAAGCAAGTTCTCGATGATTTTTTCTTTATGATATTCGACACACTGCAGTACCAAAGAACTGCTGGGACAATTCAACAAGTTCTAGTAAGATAGGTCCTTCCGATGGCAAATTTTTAGGTGTGAATAGTTTGAGTCGGGGCCAAAGTTCTTTGAATAGACCAGTGCACTACCAATTTGCCCAAAAATATTTAGCTTCGCATAAATTTCGAAAAAATATGATCCTCGGCCAAAATGCTCTCACTTGTTTCTTTTATTCACATTAATGAATATTAAAAGTATGACATCTAAAAAAAGCGGGAAGAGGTGAATAACGTTGTGGAATGGAAATAGTGGTGCTACACAGGCTACAACTTTTCCTGCAGTAGGTGTTGGGAAGCTCGTCAACCATGTAGCATTTGCTGCTGTTTTCTGCAATCCACTTACTGCAGAATGCATCGGTATCCTCACATTCCATTAAATGTCCTGAAACATCGCTAAAATACGCATATGTTTTCATGTTAATATATTTATACATATATTACAAAAAGAAGACCATCAAAATGCTTCGCTTCTGATTAGAATTATCATTCTTAGCTTGTCGGAACCGAAGAGCCTGGTGTAGCTGTGCGTGGTGTTTAGGAGAATTCTAGTGAAGTTACTAACGTGGAAATCTCGCAACAGTTGTCCCGGCGGTTTTGATATTTTTAACTATAGAATAAAACCAAAAAAACATCAGGCCTTGAAAAAACTGCAAACCGTTGATGGTGCAGAATAGCAAGGAGAAGCGTAGCAGATAAGCGACAAACATTTCCGCAAAAGAGCCGCAAAAAATGGCTCAACAAAACGCCGGATTTTCCAAGATATCAACAACTCACCCCCAGCAGTAACAGCTTTCATGTGTGGACAGTCCAGAAACCGGTTCAATTCTTCCACATCACTTCCCAGGTTTTTTCAAATTCGACTTAGGAAATGCATTTCTTGCCGCCCGAATAGTTTCGTCAAAGCTGTCAAG